AGTAGATTTCTAACATGATGGCAGTCAGATATATAATCTACCATGAGAGCCTTGTCTTGATACTTTCTAATACCACCTTGTTTTCACTGGATACATTAGCTGTGATATGAAACCAGTAAATGAGGTTTGAATTCAAGTAACAGTCAAGTATCCAATAATGAACTTTTGGGCGCAATCCTTCTCCCCCTTCCCAATATAGGTAATGTGACTAAATATTTCTACTAATTTCCAAAGTGTGTATATTTGAATAGTTTTGATCTCTGCAATAGACTAACAGACAATTCTATTTATCTAGTTAAAAAAACAAAATGCTTATCTATCTATCTAAATACAAAGTCTGTCAAAAAAATGTATACACACTTCAGGAAAGGAAAAACTTGTCTTTCGTAGTTTTATCAAATTGCGATAACACTGTTTACTGTAGTACGATATTTTCTTGACAGATGGGATTAACCTCATGGCTGTAACATCAACAAGTGACGTCTACAACATGGTGGATGTAGATTTGTTATTCATGGAATATAAGATTATTTTAAAGTGATATTTCAAATTCGAGAATGTTGTAGAAGTCCAAAGACAATGGAGCCATGAGTTTGGAACACAACCTCCAACACATTCGACAATTTCATGAAGTTGTGATAAATTCAAAACACATAGTTACTATTTGTGATGTGTAAAAAGAAAAATCCATCAGACCTTGTACAGCAACAAGAGCTGTTTCCTTGGCCATGATGTTGGAACAATTCACACATTCGCAACAAAAGTCTACCATACAATGGGCATGAGAAACAGAAGTAAACAGTACAAGCATATGGCATATTCTTAAAAGAGCTAAAGTGGAATGTTTACATCTCAAGATTATTACATGAAATTAAAGATGATCTGGATCAAAGAATCCAGTTTTGTGAGTGGTTTCAACATATGGTAAGCCAGAATGAAAAGCTGGTGAGAAAGATGTGTGGTCTGATGTAGCACAATTTGAGCTAAATGGAGTAGTGAACTGACATAATTGTGTGGGCACTGGAAAATTCATGTGAACAAAGCAGTCAATTTACCGAGTGTCAATGTCTGATGTGGAATGTCATCTAGAGCAGTGGTTGCCAACTGTTGGTCTGTGCAAAATTTTTGATGGTCCGCAGAAAAATTGGGACATTATTTCAATTTTTATGATGCTTCAGATTCAAAATGACAATCGACAAAATGTATTATGGATGGTATATATGTTCAAGACCTTATGTAATCTCAAAATAAACATGAGTAGACAACACCAGTAAACAAATGTGATTTCATCCAGCTATAGTATAACCTAACATGACTTGCAAATTTCAACTTTTCAATTTGTTTTATTTAAATAATTACACTATAACTTTTTTACCTTTTAATGGGTGCATTTCATATTAATAAAAGTTTTCCGATTATTATTAAATAAATGTATTTACCTTTGTTTTTCAATTCATATTAGTGGTCTGCCAAATTTAAAATTATACATTTAGTGGTCCATGAAGTTCAAAAGGTTGGTGACCACTGATCTAGAGGTTTAATAGGACTTTTTTCTTTGAATATACTTTTACTGGTGAAGTGTACCTAGACATGCTATGCACATCCATATTACTTGCCATACATGAGCTTTATGGAAATGATGAATTTTTCTTTCAACAAAACAACACACCAACACACTAGCAGCAAGACATGTGAGCATATCTGAATGAGAATTTTTAAGGACACTGATTAGGATGAAGAGGTGTAGTTGAGTTAACTCCATGTTCTCCTGATTTAATACCTGCAGACTTTTACCTATGGGGGACCCTAAAGGATGTTGTGTATCACAGAAAAAACAACTATATTTGCAAATCTGATGAATGGTTACAAGTGAGAGAGGAGATGGGATGGGCTTATTTTATTATCACAATACTGTTTAGAATAGTGATAAAATCTGTTGGATTAATAGTGAATAAGAGAATAACCAAATGGAAAAAAACTTCTTTCACTTCGTTCCAAGAAAGAACTTCTTCAGACTAATGTCTTATTGATGAAATCAGACTTATGAATTAAATAGTGTGTTGGGAGAACTAGAACAAACGCCAGTTGCAATTTACATTCAAATGATAAAGATATAGAGATGCTCAGCTTTAAATATAAATTTTGATGTCCGTTGCTTTTTGTTCACCCTGTACAAGGCTCAGGCGCCAAACAATGTAGAGGGTTACATTAAGGAGCAGTTTATATGGACAGGATAGGGAGATAACAGTTAACTCTAGATTTGAACAGGTTAAAATTGTAGACATCACAAAAACATGCTCTTGGGAGTCTGTTCCACAGAGCAGTGGTTCACAGGAAGAAGTTGTTTGAGTGAAATTTACTTCTTGCCAATAGAATACAGAGGAAATGTGGGTAGTTTGCTACTATATTAGTGGCATAGCAGCTCCTAGCAATGAAGGTCATGTAATAGTTATAAGAAGTTATTTCCCCTTATTAGAACTCTTCACTGACATTACTCCAGAAATAGAAATGAAGTTCCAGCCACTTTTTCATCACGGACTAGTTTAGATGTGTAAACAGTTTAGATGTGTAAACACAGCTAATAAAAGCATAAAGCAAAAACCATGTGTATTTTCTTAATTCCTGATTTCAGCCTTGTCTCAGTGTATTACAGGTTAGACTTGGCAGAACCAAGGAATGTAGTTCTTCTGAGCACTTTCCATGGAAGTAGCGACAGAGCAGTGAGATGTGTATCTGATGAAGCTTCATGATTAACTTAGCCTAATTTATTCAGCTTATTATCACTATAACAATATGCATATATAAATATAAGAAAGAAGTCAGGTAATAGATTCATTCCTGCTGCTGGTACCATGGAACCCAATACTACCTGTCTCGTGTTATTTGAACAGGATATGGGTACTGCCAGAAAATGGACACTGGAAATACAATGGGACAAACCACTATCTCTGTTTAAAGTGTGACTCTAAAAAAAATAATAAAAGCAATTGTTTTTACCGCAATTAAAGATGTGATGATTGATGTATCTGGGATATTTTTATAGTTATCTCTCAATTGTTTTCTAAGATGAGAAACTTGATCTTGCAATTTGAGAACCATCTGCTCCTTATCTTCCAGAATTTTCTAAAAGTAAACAGAAATCATTTCACATAATGACAAAAAAATAGTTTTATTTTTGCATGGTTTTCTGGCAACAAAAAAAATGGGGTGTATGACAATAAACTACATGCACGTCCTGGGTAAGATGATAAACTACCTCCAACAGCAAGGCCTCTGATCAAGAGGTTTTGAGGAGCGTGGAACTACCTCTTAATTGCTGGTTTTCCCAAGTCCACCCTGATCTGGGGTGGTAGCACCTGTTAGGGTCCCAGCTATAGGCAAATAGTTAACCCCTAAACTGGGGTCAAAACACTGTGAAAGTGTAAAAATAGGTTCTAATACCAGAAATACTTTGTAAAAAAATTATTACCAGCAATACATTTTTGAAAAACAAATATTACCAGCAATACATTTTTAGATAAGAAAACAAATATTACCAGGTAAACATTGTTTGAAAAAAAGAAAAAAAAATATTAACAGTGATATATATTTGAAAGAAAATTATTACCAGAAATAGATTTTTGAAGAAAAGAAAAAAAATTACCAGAAATAGATTTTTTGAAGGAAAAAATATAACCAGAAATAGATTTTTGAAAAAAAATTATTACCAATAATAAAAATTTTGTTGGCATTAAATAACCCATTGAAGTTGATATGCTGTAAGACAAACCAAACCAAATGGCAAAAAACAAAACAAAATTATAACAAATCTTAGAGAGTGAACCTCTGAACTATTGTAAAAAATATAAATTTGAATAAATTGATTTAATTTAATGAAAAAGAATATCAAAAGTGTAGTTTGACAAAATGTTTACATGGAGAGAAAGGAAGAGGATAAATCAGAAGAGATAGAAAAAAGAGTTTAGACAGAATTAGACAGAATTAGTTCTTAAGAAAAATGAAACATTTAATTACCCAGTTCCTTTACTCCTACATTTTTTAGATTGCAGTCTTATTTGTTCAAGCCTTTCATGTGAGACACTCAAATACCTTTGTCTATTAAGTGATCATCTGCTTCAAATTAGTCTTGAAATAGACTTTGTCATCACAGTTTTTGTCATTCTGTTGCTAATTTTTTTCTTCCAATAAATATTTTGATTTTACTGTTACATTAAACATATAAGATTTTTAACATGAAAAAATATATTGAGCAAAAGGTGATTGATATAATACCAGGAGTAATCAATGAATCATAGATACCATTGAACATCTAAAATATATAAAGGAAATGGATTAATTAAACAGTTTATTGGCCTCTATTTTAGTTGTGAATACTTTATCTCCACTTTATTAAATCTCAGTACATTGTTTCAAGATTTTTGTTTCATTGCATCTCACTGTTAAAACTTTATAACAATTGCCATCATTTTTTATGACACAGGTACACTAGTATATATATACATATAAAGAGAGAAGAGGAATAATTTAAATACTGGCCTTCCAGTTGGTTACTTTTTCATTTACCGCATTCATAATAGACTCATCGGTTTCATTTCGGCATTTCTGCTCTTTTTGCAAAGCCTTGACCTGTTGCCAAAATAAGTTAACCATGTACCTTCCTTTGTTGAAGTATAGGGCCACAGCCACACCACACTAAGTGCTGCTGTGGTTTCCATAACAAGTATTTATTTTTTTAGTGTAGAGTCACTAGCCTCATACCCAAGCACAGCTAGAATGTTCAGTCTGCTCTGCTATTAAACCTTTTGCTGGAGGAGAAGAGGAGTAGTCAAACTATTACAAAGGCATATGTATGAAAATAAACACAATAGCTAACCACAATTTCCAGAGTAATAGCCACTATGCTATATCCCTCCCCCTACCATAAAAAATGATTTAGACCATTATAGAACACTGCAGGCATCAAGATGTTTCAAACATGACTAAGATAAATCTGGCCAGACTGAGATAGATCTGGACAGAGGGAGATAGATCTGGACAGACGTGAGAGAGTTCTGTACATATCCAAATATAAAGAAACTGAAATAAATAGACAGACTGAAAGTGTAATGCAAAACCCCAAAGTTACATAAGGATAATGAAAGATGGTTTTCAAAACCTGAATAAGACATGAGAGGGTTCTTGATCCAACCAAGAAGTCTTTCCAAAAAATATTCTGATGTTTAGTCAAACTTTGGGAAGCTGAGAACTTTTCAGCACCCTCTCATGTTAAAGGACCAAAAATAACATTGAAAACAAAGAAACTGATAGATAATATCTACTGTAAAGTGAAAGCTAGATAATTTTGTAACAAATGAAGAAAATATTTGAAGTGACCAAGATGTTGTTTTTACCTACCAATGTTGAGAATATTATGGACCAAGTACATGACTAATGAAGAAATTTTAAGAAAAATACAATCTATAAAGAAACTGTTGTTAATAATCAGAGACAGTTGAAACTTTTGTTATAAATAATGAAGAAAGAGGGCTTGGAGAATTTAACACTTACAGGACACACTAAAGGCAAGAGAAACAGTGGAAAGCAGCCTGTCACCTAATTGACAAGTTTGATCAAATGATTAAGGAACAAGTACCACAAAGAGAGGATTTAAAGGATCAAATATTGCTAAAACCAACAAAAGAAAGGATGCTGTGGACAGCCATTATCTACCAAAGTCTAAAGGAACCTGATATAGGCAAAGATTTGGGCTGCTGGTGACTATTAGAATATTAAGTTACAGTTCAAATATTTTTGTTCTTATTTTTATGCTATATTATTTTTTAAGTCATTTTCTAAAATTGATCCACTTTTGAAGATCAGGATATGATAGACTTATAGGCATCAAAGTTTGGTACATTTTAAAACTTTATTTCATGTCAAATAACACATCAAATAAAATCTTTAAGCTACTTTTGTAGAGTCAAAAAGTTTTAAGATGACCAGAAATTTTGACTTAACATAGAATTTATACTTAATAATAAACTTAAATAGAGGATTTGGTCTAAAAAAAAATACAAATATATTAATTTAAAAAGATAAAGTGATATTTTCATAAATGATTTATTCCATACCTTTGACTTAAGCTCTTCATTCATATCTCTCAACATTCCATTATTGATATCTTCACTCTGCAAAGTTGTCTACAAACAAAAAATATTATATACTCATTAATGAGACATCTATAGAAGTCCACTGGTAACAATACAGGTAAACTGGGTGGGTTAATTTTTGCATTAAAAGTAGTAAGCCAGTGGAATTCAACATTACCAAATATTCCATGAACCACAGAAGGCTTATTTTGTTTCAAACATAAGACCTGATAAATAAATGTGCTTTTTCTTTTCCTGTTCAATTTTCTGAATTGATTATGACAGGAAAGCATGTCTACTTCATGAAGATCACACCTGCTGCTGAAACTTTGAATGGTTATTTATACTTACCCACTGGTCAATGCATAGCATGTAGTTTACACCTACACATTGTGGTTTGACCAGTCACATTAGTTTATAGCCACACTTCATATTTATATATATTTCCTCTTTTACTTACAAATGTTCAAGTTATGAAATACAAACAAACCTGTAAATTCAAATATTATTATTGCACTAGTTGAGAAATTTCACTGCCTCGCAATAGAGAGCATTACTGTAGCTTCCCAGCATGCCACTGCAAAGACAATTCAGTTGTCTGTCTATGACATCATGGTGTTATTTAGGATTATCTGAAGTTATCACAAATATATGTTTTGGATATATAAGCTCAGCATTTTTCTTCTTTAAAAAGGTCACCATTTTTTGTTTAATATATTTTTCATTATTTACATTCAAACTATTGTCATCATCTTTGTTGTTGTTATCCAAAACTTTTCAGCCGTTGTGCCCTTTTGGCCTTCATCAGGTGTATATTGCTCTGGGTAACCTACGGAGAATTCCAAAGTGAACCCTTTATTTAATCTACAGGAGTAGATTGTTCTTGTTCCACTGCCTATGTCTAGGGATAGCTTGTCTAGTTCTTATTTTTAGTACTGCTTAGTCATTTCTCACTTTGTTTCAACTGAGTCAAGTAGACACTGTACCAAATTCATAAACAAATACTTTAATTCACTAGGCTATTGTCCTATAGGAAAATTCTCTGTGGAGAACTAGGAGCCTTAAACCAACTTGCCTGCCTGCTGATGAGTGCTGCTGCTTGTCATACTTGACTGCACTCACTGAAGTTTTCTCTTTTGTTACAGCTGTTATTGTTTTTCTTTCTTAATTTATTAATGGCTCCCATGTTGTATTTTATTTTTATTTTATGCTAGGTTAACTATGGAGGTCCTCATAACATAACATAAGCACTGATTCTTTCAGGCATCTAACTCTCCAGTGTTCTTACTTTCCTCCCTTTGCCTTTTCTATAAATACTTTCATGGTAATTGTTCAGATTAGCTCTTCACTATGGTGCCTAGACTCTTTAAATTTAAGCACAGTACTAGACTGGCGGTAAAGTCTCACCAATTTACAATTAAGCTGGTTAGATGTAACCATAAATTCTATGCTAACAGTTTCTTTTCTCGCACTTCTCACTTGGGGAAATTCCTTCTGGCACCATGCTTCCAACCGACTTTAATCTTCAAAAATTTAAATGCAATGTCAATCACTATCTACTCTCCTTCTGATTACTCTTACTCTGTTCTCACTCTTTAGCGATGTTTCCATTTCTAACTCTTCCACACCCAGTAACTCCTTATGTTTTAGTGGATTTATTGCCTTGCTTGGGGTGAACGTGATTATAAATCAAAATTATATATTATATCACATTATATCGTATCATATAGCATCTGTTTCATGTGTCATCATAACTTTTATAAGGCATTTAAAAAATTTAAATGTTTCCTCAGAAACTAAGTAATATTAATAACTGTGCAGTCAGAAATCAAAAACTGAAAAACATTTTGAATGGACCAACTAAACATATTCCAGTCAAGTTCCATTTTCTTATAGTTTACCATGTTTTACACATGATCCTGGTTGGTGTTTCAGCTTGTACATTGATCATATTTTAGCAAATAGGTTTTTAAGGAGAAGGATTGCAAGCCCCATCTACCACTTTTTGCTATTTAATCCATAACTGGATAGAGGAGTGAATTCCACTAATGGTTTTCAAATTTAATGTTGTCCTTCTCCTACTGGTTACCAACCAAAACTAGAGAACCCAGTTTGCCCTATGATTTTATCAACAGTTGATGGGGTGGGACAAAGAGATATATTTATGCTTTTTATAAAGGTATTAGTGTGAAGCAAACACAAACTGCCTCAGCTAAAATTTGAACTCAGCTAACTGGTTCCATTTTCTATGCTGTTAACCATTATGCCACCAACACTTCCTCAAAACATAAAATCAAACGAAAAAAAGAAACTCTTTAAATTACCTTTAGGTTGACGTTGTTCTTTCTTGTAGCGCTTAAAATCTTAATGGTTTCTCGAAGTTCCCTCTTTAATCTGTAACATTCGTTCCTTTTGCTTTTAAACCTAGTTACCAAATTCTTTGAACAAGAAGAAAAGGGATCATTATTGGAATGCACTGTGGTATTTATTGTAACTATAAAAAGACTACTTTTCACTGTAACCTCTTCAACATAAAAATATAATCATTATTTATTCTTCATTATAATAATATTTCCAACAAAATTAAACACTATCTGAACTCAGAAGATTGGTGCAGAATAGTCTTCCTTTCCATCCTCCTATTTAGGTTAAAGCACATGGATAAATTTCTATAATTACCCTTTATTTTTTCCCAGTTTTAAACTTTAGCAGTCTGCATTATTAATTTTACTTCCCTTTCCACTGGATTCTTTTTTCAAAGCCTCTTAATTGCAGTATCCTTACTGTTAATTTCACTCAAAGTTGTTTTCTGTTGCCATAGCAGGATATGACAACACAAACACACTATTGTTCAGGGATCAGAATTACCTTAAGTGGCAGGATAAACTTTTTGTACAGAAAATGAAGTCACATACAGAGTGATAAAGGTTAATTGTAGGGTTATCAATAAAACAAAAAAAAAAATTTTAGGTTTCTAATACATAATCACTCAAAAAGAAATCTTGACTCACTAAATCAATTATGATTGAATAGTGAGTTTGATCTCCATATGATTAGACCCCTGACACCTAGATCACATAAACTCAACAGTTTTTTGCCAGTGTTGGTTCTGTCATTTATAATTTAAAAAAAAGTAAAATAAACAGTGATTTTTAATTTACCGAATGTTTCCTCCAAGTAAGGTAGTAACAGTCCTTTGTCGATCCACATGTGAATCTGTAGCTTAAATAAGTCTGTATTGTTGCAAATGTACAAATCAAAATATCGCTGGTTCAATTCACCGTCCTCGCTTTCTGAACACATCACTACGTATAGCCGTCGTTTCTCCCTGTTTTCACTGCTCCAGCCCTATTTTATCAGGCCAACACCACGGTTCACCAACCAATCAGCATTCTTCACTTTTATTCTCAGTTACACAGGCAAATTGCCTCCTCCAGTTCAACCAATCAGCACACGACTTGCTATTGGTGGAAGTATGCCAAACTGTACAAAAAACCCTCATCACTGCTTCTACAGGGCTGTTCACCACAGAATCTTCAGTTTATATTCCTCCCTTATTTGCATGGACATGAGTTACACAATTTCTATCAATGTTGACCTATTCAAAATTCTTTCATTTCTCATGCTCCCAGTTATCTGACCATTAAAATACTGTGATCATAATCTTTCACTTGACATGAAAATTAAACATCCCTATAACTCTAGATACATACACACAACCCATACATCCAGTTACGAAGTTAAAATAATATCATCCTTGATAACGGCTAAAAGTATAGCCAAAAGCACTCAGAATTATAGAACATTTGAACAGTTTCTACACACTTTGTGTCCAAAAAAGAAAAAAGTTAATCAAACACAAGAAAAATGAAATAAAAAGCTTAATTGTAGTACCTTGTCTGTTGTCTTTAATGAAACATATATATATATA